AATGTAGATCTTTCTCTACTTTTTTTAAATAAAGTTTCAACTATGGCATTTACAAAAAAAAAAAAAAAAAAAAAAATTCTGTTCATTCCATCTTAAGTGAAAAGAATAATACCTTCTCTGGGTTAGTAACCGCCGGCTAATAACCGGTTATGACGATAACAAATTTTGAAATTCTGAGTCCCAGAAAAGTTATCATTCTTTTTACTTATAAGATAGGTTGAACAAAATTTAATTCTGAACAACTTTAATTAATAGCTCAAAATAAAAAATCATTTCAGCATTTAGCAAATCGGCTATAAATAATCGTAGCTGTTTGTAACCGAACCCATCCCTAAGTACAATATACCTATCTATTGAGGACGTATAAAGATTGAAAGTTGGCCTTTCTATAATGAATCATTTGAATCTTCAAGATCAATAGTAAGATACACAGATAGAATTAATTTTTGCATACTATCTTTAGGGAAGTCATGGTCAAGAACGGCGACAGGTTCATTATCTGATTGAATAGTTTTAAAGGTCCATTCTACTGCTAGAACACCTAGGAGAACTTTCGCTTTATCATCCTGTGATATGATCACAGAATGTGAAGCAAAAGAGGTTACGAATTGTCGTGCACTTTTAATTGATGAAAGACAATAATGTTCATCAATATGGTCTTTCATTTCATTCCTTAAAACTGACATCACCTGGATTGCCATAGGATAATGATGTCATTTTGCACTTAGAGAATTTATGCACTGAGGCCAGAAATACATATCGAGACAGGAACGTGATATATAAATTTTGTACTTTTCTTCTATTTCAGTTTTCAGGTGAATGGTAGTACGTACTTTAATTATCTCTTTTCTTCTTTTTTGTGCAGCACTTCCAAATTCTACACATAAATGAAGTTGCATAGGAAGATTAGGATTTTGTTGAAGTAAAGAAGGTCATCCAGTGAAATCATAACAAATAACTTCATTACTTTCTTCTAAAGCCTTAAGTTTTTTTGCTCGACACTTTGCTTGCACAGTCGCATGATTTTTTAATTTTTTTCTCTTTTTTTTTTCTTCTTTAATTATTTGTTTAGTTTCTGTAATTTGAACAAGAAAATCACTACGAAGTTGTGAATCTTGCACAACACGATAAAGATCATTTAATTCTGCAAGTTTTTCTTCAGCAGTTTTTTGTTTTATGAGTGACGATTTTTGTGCTGATGCATTAAACCGTGGCTCTTCTGTAATGGTAATTGACTTATCGCTTTCTTCTAAATCAGATTCATAACTTTCTTCCTGATTATTTAATGTTTTAGTTCTTGAAGTAGATAAAAAAGATGTATATAAAGGTGGTTGAATAGGAGTAGTGAAGTAAGTGTTGATAATTTGTTTAAGGTCGTCGTCTTCTTTTTTTCGCACTTGCTTCCATTCATTTTGTGTATCAGCAAATACAGTTTAGGCATTTGGAGATGGATTGCCTGTAGATACAGTTAACTTGTATACATAAGCATTGCAAAAATTCTCATAAAGGTTTGTGGGATTCTTGAATATATATTTTATTATAACGTGAAGTACTTAAAAAGGTTTGCATTTAATTATACACAATAGAGTTATAGTAAATATTTTAAGTTTAATGCGAAGGTGAATGTTTATATATGACAAGATGTGCACACTTTATAGATAAGTTACAGCCTATAGGACAAGCCCATTGCCTTTTTTACTATTTGATAACTTTCATATTTTACTTTAACATTTGCAAATTGGAAACTTATTTTATTCCAAATTTGTCGACAGCTTTATATGTACATACGATAACCTCCAAAAGTATATATGATTACACGAAAAAATAAGTGTAAAAATTAACAATTACGATAACATATACATGAGATAATTTTCATATGCATTTGTAAATAACATTTGAGAATAACAGATATATGGATTGGAGAATTTAGATTAATTAGTTGGATTACGTAACACTGATAAACGTAATCCAACTAATTATAATTTGTAAAAACTAAAAAAATATAAATACCATAAACAACCAAATACCAAAGAAAAAAATAATTTAATTTTAAAATAAGAAATTAATTACTG